TCTTTCTTACCTCCAAAGAGCACTCCAGCTGCATCCTCTCCAAGACATATCTGTTCATTCTATTGGCCATCTATGGAATGTTCAGTGCTCTTCTTCAACACCACAGCTCAAAGGCATCAATTCTTTTTCTATTATTCTTATTCATTGTCCAGGTCTCAGATGCAAAGAAAGTAATCCAAAAGACTATGGCCTGAATCATATGCACCTTAGTTTTCAAACGCATATCACTACTCCTCAATAATTTGGAAAGATCTCTAACTGCCAATTTTCCCAGTGCAATGCATCTCCTTATTTCCTGACTGCTGGTACCAAGGGTGTTAATTGTGGATCGAAGCAAGATGAAGCTGCTGACAGTTTCAATCTCCTCTCCAACCACCATGATGCTCCCTATTGGTTCAGTGGTAAGAATCTTTGTTTTCTTGACATTGAGGTGGAATCTGTACCAAAGGCTTCCTTGATCTTCTGCAACAAGTAAGTCTCCCTCCAATCCTGATGCCACACTCCTCCTCATAAGAGTCCAGGTTCTTGGATAATTTGCTCAGTATATAGACTGAATAGATATGGAGAGAGAATACAACCATGGCATACTCCCTTCCCAATTCCAAACCATGTAGTGCTCCCCTGCTCTGTTCCCACAACAGCCTCTTGGTCCAGTTACAGGTTGTGCATGAGTTAAGTGCTCTGAGATTCCCATTCTTTTTAATGTCAGCCCACAACTTTTCATGAACCACACAGTCAAATGCCTTTGCACAATCAGTAAAGCACAGACAGACATTTTTCTGGTATTCCTTACTTACAGCCAGGATCCATCCGACATCCGATATCCTTGGTGCCACAGTCTCTTCTAAATCCTGCTTGAACTTCTGGAAGTTCCTTATCTATGTACTGTTCCAGCTGTTTTTGAATGATCTTCAGCAGTATTTTCCTTGCATGTGATATCAATGATATTGTTCAATAATTTCCATATTCAGTTGTATCACCTTTTTTGGGAATGGAAACAAATACGGACCTCTTCCAATCCATTGGCATAGACTGGCACAGACTGGCGAGTGCATCCAAAGCGGCATCTATTAATTAAAATAAGTCAGTTGGTATTCCATCAATTCCTGGAGACTTTTTTTTTCCAATGCCTTCAATGCAGCTTCCACTTCCTCCTTCATTACCACTGGCTCCTATTCTTATGGTATTTCCTAAAATTTTTCAGTATCAATCAATTCTTTCTGGTACAATGACTCTTTGTATTCCTTCCATCTTCTTTTGATGCTTTCTGAGTCATTCAATATATTGTTCATAGCATTTTTCAACATTGCAACACAAGGCTTAAATTTGTTTTTCAGTTCTTTCAGCTTAAGAAATGCTGAGTGAGTTCTTCTCTTTTTATTATCCAACTCCAACTTTCTGCACATTCTATTATTATGCTTTGCTTTGTCCTCCCGAGCTGCCCTTTGAAATTGTCTGTTCAGCTCTTTCAACATTTTTTTACTTTAGTTTTGGCTTCTCATCACACCTGTGCAATCTTTAGAGTCTCTTCTGACATCCATTTCAATTTTTTCTTTCTCCTGTTTTTGTAATGACCTTTTGCTTTCTTCATGGATGATATCCTTGATATCATCCCACAACTCATCTGCTCTTCAGTCATTAGTTTTCAATGCCTTAAACTGATTCTTAATATGATCATGAAATTCAGATGGAATTGATTCAAGATCTATCTTGGTTCCTATGTGTTAGGTTAGGTTAGGTTAGGTTAGGTTAGGTTAGGTTAGTGGACTTAAAGAAGAAATCAGAGAGAACAAGAGAAAGCTTAATGCAGCTTTATTAAAGGGGGGAAAAGGGAGCTCCCAGGTGAGTTCCTCACCCTGGAGAGGCCGAATGGAGAGTCTTTAGGGAGGGACATTGCACTGATTTACGAGCCACCTGCTAGCTTAGACAGGCAAGGCCATTTTCTTATCTTCAACAGCAAGGCCATCAGCATTTGAGTTCTGAATTCTTCATTCTTCTCTTTGGCCTCTTTGCCCAGACTAACACTATGGATTTATTTTCATTTTCTTCAACCTCAATTTGAACTTGCATATGAGTAATTTCTCCAATCATTTCTTCCACAAATGTTGTCTATCTGATTTTGTTTACAGTCAGCTGTGGGTGGGAAGCCTCTTGTGGAGGCAAACAGGATCTGGTGGGCAGGCCTTTGTATTTAAAAGTCGGTTGGGTCTTTCCTGAATGAAGGTGAGCTTTCAGATTGGCGCAGTTGGATCCTGGAGGGTAAGTGGTTTCGATTTACTTGAAAGCTTGTTATAAACTATTAGGGCATTTCTAATTGTGTTAGTAATCAACTGTGAGCTGATTAACTTTTTCTGATTTAATTTACAATCAGCTATGGGTGGGAAGCCTCTTGTGTAAGCAAACTTGTTCTACGCGATGAAGCTCTTGTGTGTCAGTTTGCTGTACTGAGATAACCTGAGGTTGTTGTGACACTGACATCTGTGCCATGATGTGTCAAATGCCTTAAGAGTTTACCATCATAGACAGGTTTTGGTGGAGTTTCCTGATTAAGACAGACTAAGAAGCAGAGTGAGCCATCTACTTCCTAAATAACAGACCTTTGAAAACCTTATGAACACTAAATAAAGAAGATAGTTATATCAGTGTAGTGGTAAAGTCCAGTTTGGAAGTCAGTTGAAGTGAAGAAAATCAATAACAAACACCATTTAACAATTGGAATATGGAATGTATGTAGCTTGAATATTGAAAAACTGGAAATTGTTAAAAATTATATGGAATGCATGAATATCAAAATACTATGCATTAGTGAGAGGAAAGGACCAGCTTTGGCCACTTTGAATCAGATAATCTTTTGGTATATTTGCAGGGAATGAAAAACAGAGGAAGAATGGTGTTGCATTCATAGTTAAAAAGTTAATTTCAAGTTCTATCCTGAAATACAATGTTGTGAGTGATAGGATAATATCCATACACATACACATACAAGGAAGACCTGTGAACACAACTCTTATTCAAATATATGCTCCTACATCTAGAGTTAAAGAGGAAGAAATTAAGAATTTTTACCAAATTTAGCAGTACATGACAGGTCTTTAGAGAGGGACATCATGCTGGGTAGAGTAGAGGGACAGCGCAGGAGGGGAAGACCCTCTATGAGGTGGATTGATTCAATGACTGGGGTAATCGGGAGGGATGTGTCAGAGGCAATGAGATTGGCACAGGATAGAGCACAGTTTAGGGCTGTTGTACATAGGGTCTCTATGAGTCACAAACGACTCGACGGCACATAACAACAACAACTGATCTTAAATATACTCAGGATTGTTAATGATAACTGGTGAGTAGAATGTAAAGTGAAGAAGGAACAGTAGTTGGAAAATATGGGCTTGGTAATAAAGCTGGAAATAGAATGACTGAATTTTGTATTTACAATGATTCATTCATTGCAAATACCTTTTCTAAAAGACACAAAAGGTGACTTTACACGTGGATCTCACCTGATGGGCTACATAGGAATCAGATTGATTTCCACTTTACAGATGAGAAAACTGAGGCTCAAAATGTCTTCGTTGGGGTTCAAGAGCTGGGTCTCAAATCTAGAACTGATACTTCAGTAAGTATATTTAAGTTACTATTATGTCTAAGGTACTATGTTTGTAAAACTGCTCATCTTAGAGAAATTTACTTAGTGCTAACAGAAAGCAAACAAATATTCTAATGAGATGATTACTGATTATAAATACATACTAAGGTAATCAATCCATTATGCTCCAGAGTTGATAGCTCTCTCGCAGATCCTCTTAAGATCAACTCATAAAGTTTTGCTCTATTTTCATTGGAAGGGAGAGTCTGAGAGGCACCAATGATAGAGGAGGCAATGCTGCAGCTGAAGGAAACTGAGTCCTCAGCCTTGTTCATCACAAATAATGAACCAGTTAACCAGATGCTGTCAATTTTACCCCAACCAGGGTTCTGACCTAGTTTATTCCAGTTCGATCTTATCTGAGAATTTGCATTTCACCCAAATTTACAAATCAGAATCTACATTTTAACAAGATCTGCAGGCAAGTCCTCTGACTCACAGTGACCCCACGCATGTCAGAGTACAACTGCTTCTATGGATTTCCCATGACTGAGTTTTTGGGAAACAAATCACCAGGCTCTTCTTCCTAGACACCTGATGTGGATTTGAACCTGCCACCTTTTGTTTAATAGCTGAGTACACTTAATATTTGCACTTTCCAGGGAGTACCATAGATATAAACCTTCATTGCTGTGGAGTTGCAAATGACTCAGCTGACACTCTACTGCGGTTCAGAAGCAATAAATCACATGAGAGGAGACTGTCCATCTTTCTCCTGTGAAGCTGCTAGTGGATTCGAGTCTCTGCAGAGGCATGGAGATTAGATCAGAAACTACCTACAAGCAACACTCTTTCAAAGTTTTAGATTGCCCTACTCTTGTGTGAGAACAGAAACTCAGAGAAAACAGCATTTCTAGGCAGAGAAATCATGGAGGTGCAATGGTTAAGCACTCAGCTTCTCACTGAAAGACTGGCAGTTCAAAACCACTCAGCTGCTCTGAGGGAGGAAGATCTGCTGATCTGCTCTCATAAAGGGCAAAGCCTGGCAAACCCCATTGGGCAGTTCTGCTCTATCCCATGAGACACTATTAGTTGAAATTGACTAGACGGCGCCAGTCTGTTGGTTGAAACTGGCTGGATGACACAAGCCAGCCCCCAAATGCAGAGGTCCAAGTTCTCACACTCAAGAGTGGTGCTGAGCATGCCTGCCCCCCATCATGGGCTGGCAAGTCTAAACTCCAAGGCTCTAAATGGGTTCCAGTGTTCAGCACAGGGTGTTTGAGGAGAGAAAGCAGAAACTGGGGCTACATTTCTAGAAGACAGGAAAAACAACAGGTGACAGAGAACTGAATGGACACAGGAGGAACACACGGCCACTGAGTGTACAGGGAGCTGGGACAGCTGGAGGGTGGGGTACCTTTGTGCTTCTTGGCCACGCCTGGTTCCGAGACACTCAGGGAGGTCTCCGACAGCTCATCCACATCCACATCCATACCCAGTGGGTGGTGGTTGTCCCATACTTCATCCGGTGACTCCTTCTCCAAGTCCCAGGAGTCAAGTTCGTTCACCTGAGGCTCCAAGGCAGGTGGGTCCTGGGCAAGTGAGTCTTCCTCACATAGCGAGGTGGTACCGGTGGCCCCTAACGGGGATGGAGATTCCTCCTGATGCTGGCTGTCCATGGAAGCTGCGTAGTCCAGCATCAGGGCAGCTTCAGTATCCTGAGAAAGGGAGGTCTGTTGGGAAAAAAAAGCATCATCATCAGAAAAGAAAGCTACTCTTCACAATTTCTGTTTGACATACTCAACAACTCCTTGCCATTGAGTCAGAAATGACTCATAGCTGACTCTCTAGCAGGTTTGCAGAGGCAGTAATTGCACAGAAGGAGACTGTCCATCTTTCCCCCAAAGAGCAGCTGGTGGATTTCAACCACTGGCCTGTTGGTTGACAGACAGCACAACACTCTAAATACTAGGACCAAAGCTCCTTCTGTTCAACCAGTGATTTAAAAAATAACAGAAGGCACACCCGGCCCCTGTAAGAAGGCAGCTTCATCCCAGGGCAGTAGCATAGTAGGTTAAGTTTGCTTACTGAAATGCTGGCAGTTCGAGCCCACCATCCTTTCCAAGGCAAAAAGAGAAAGCAGTCTTTTCCCATCAAGATTTATGGTCTCAGCTCTCGCCCTATTTCCTTTCAAGGAGAGAGGTACATCCCTCTAGGCATGTACTTTCTAATAAATGTCCTTTTACCCTAATTTTTAAAAAAATATTATAGTCTCAGAAACCCAACAGAAAGTCTCATTGAGTCAGAATCAACTCACCCACAGGGAGGTTTTTTTGGGTTTTGTTTTTTAATTAAAGCAGTGAAGTCCTCAGTGGCACATGACTATTAATGAAAAGACTGTAAGCTTCAATCCACAAAGGCACTTCAAAAAGAAAGATCTAGCAATCCACTCTGGGAAAACAGCTCCTGAAAGGCTTATGAATCCCATTACTATTCTCATGCACACACAGGCTCTCCATGAGGTGGAGCTGACTAGATGGCAACTTGGAAAATTGTAACTGACTAATGGGCTTGGAAATCAAGACAGTGGTTCTCTGGAGGAGGGGAGAATGACCGAAAGGGACAGGAGAGGATTCTTGGGAGCCGATCATGCTGCTTTTTACCAGGGGTAGGAGAGAGGAGTTACACAGGAGAGCTTGCTCGGTGACAATGAACAGCTACACCTTTCTGACTAAGTGCTTTCTGAAGAAGATCTCATTGATTCAAGATGGCACCATTTATGCATCAATAAAAAGGATTACCTCAATTAAATACATTGTGAAGATGTGTTCCTAATGAAACTTAATAAAAACTTTGATGAGAGGTAAAATGACCGTGCGTGTGTGGTATCCTTATCTCTCTCTTCTACCTGATAAATTGCCAATGAGTCAACTCCAACTCACAGCAATTCCATATGAGTCAGGGGGCGCCTGTGTTCCACAGGGGTTTTCTGTGACTGAGTGCTGAGAAATAGATCACCCAGCCTTTCTTCTGAACAGCCTCTGGATGGACTTGAACTTCAAACCTTTTGATTAGCAGTCAAATACATTAACTATAACAACCAGGGAGTTTCTCATCTTTCTGGTTGTTGTGTGAAGTTAAGTCAATTCCTAAACAAAACAACCACAAAAGGGAGACTGCCTATAGAGTTTCCTAAACTGTAATCTTTATGATAGCAAATCACACCATATTTCTCTCATGCACTGACTGGCGGGTTTAAATTGCTAACCTTTTAGTTAGCAGCTGAAAGCTTAGTATCACCATGGCTCAATTTCACCCATGTAGGCTAGAGCCTTCCCATGGACCATCTGCCACCTGCTGGCCACCTATGAAGTACACACAGAGAGACCACCTGGGTGGGCCTCTCACCCACCATCCCTCTGGGCACAATCACCACAAAGCAGAGAGGGGAAGACGTGTGGATCAGGCTTTAAAGCAACCTTTGTCTCTCTCTGACTATAAATGTAATAAAATTCATTGCAAAAAAAGTAAATAAATGCTTTGGAAATGTGTGATGTGGAGAGTGAGTTTCCTGTAATGGTGGTGCGATCAGGGTGGAGGCTCAGGGACATTGGGGTGTGCCTTACATCATGGGTTTCTTTCTGTTTTAATAATTTCTCTTAATATGACTTCTCCTCATAGACCTCAGCCTCTTGGATAATCTGTTCCACATATAGATTGAAAAGGTATGGAGATAGGACACATCCCTGATGTACACCCTTCCCAATTTTGAACCATGCAGTATTTCCTTGCTCTGTTCTGACAACTGCCTCCTGGTCCAAGTATAGGTTTCGCATAAGTACAATCAAATGTTCTGGGATTCCGATTCTTCTCAGAGTCAGCCACACTTTGTTGTGATCCACAGTCAAATGCCTTTGCATAGTCAATAAAACATAGACAGACATTCCTCTGGTACTCTCTGCTTTCAGCCAAGATCCATATGCCATTAGCTATAATATCCCTAGTGCCATGGACTCTTCTAAATCCAGTCTGCTCTTTAGGCAGTTCTCTGTTGATGTGCTGTTCCAGTCATTTTTGGATAATCTTCAGCAGAATATTGCTTGCATATGATATCAATGACAGTGTTCAATAATTTCCACACTCTGTTGGATCACCTTTCTTTGGAATTGGAGCAAATACAGATCTCTTCCAGTCAGTAGGCCAGGTGGTTGTCCTTGAAATTTCTTGGCACAACTTGGTGAGCACATCCAGGGCAGCATCTGTTCGTTGAAATATGTCAATCAGTATGCCAATTCTTTCAGAGCAGTATGAACTTCTTCTTTCATCACAATAGGCTCTTGCTCATACATTGTTTCATTAAATTCTTCTGTGTCCACCAATTCCTTTTGCTGAAATGGCTCTGAAGTGTGGCATCAAGATTGCAGGAAGACTCATCCCTTGCTTGCTGAAACTGAGGAGGACCTGAAGCGCTTGCTGAAGAAGGTCAAGGACTACAGGCTTCAATATGGATTGAAGCTCAACATCAATAAAACAAAGATTCTCACCACTGGACCGACTAGCAGCGTCATGATTGATGATGAAGAAATTGAGATTGTTGACAGCTTCAGTTTGCTTGGCTCTACAGTGAACACTCTTGGTACCAGCAGCCAGGAAATTAAAAGACGAATTGCATTGCGAAAGTCTGTGGTTAGAGACCTCTCTAAAGTACTGAAGAGCAACGATGTTACTCTGGAGACTAAGGCCATGCATGGTCTTTGCAATTACTTGCTATGCATCAGAGAGCAGGACAATGACTAGGGATGATAGAAGGAGAGTTGATGCCTTTGAGCTTTGGTGCTGGAGAAGAGTACTGAATATACCATGGACTGCTAGGAGAACAAACAAGTTTGTCCTAGAGAGGGTGAAGCCAGGCTGGTCCTTGGAGGCAAGGATTCTGAACCTCTGTCTGACATACTTTGGACATATTGTAAGGTGGGATCAGTCCTTGGACACCTGGGACGTCATGCTTGGGAGGGTGGAGGGACAGCAAGGAGAGGAAGACCCTCCATGAGAAGGATTGAAACAGTCACTGAGGTAATGGGGATGGGCGTGTCAGAGACAATAAGATCGGCAAGGGATAGTGCAGGGTTTAAGGCTGTTGTACACATGGTTGCTATGAGTCACAGACAATTCAATGGCACATAACAACAATTTAATATGACTCACCAAACTCTCAATTACCCACACTTCACCAGCAAGCACTTTTCAAATTTCCTTAATAAACAGGATAAAATGGGCTACTATAAATCACCCCTCTGTTGAACCAAGAATTTTATTTGGTAATGGCAACCTAGGTAGAACCATCAAGTATGGAAACACAAGGGAGGAGGAACAGCTGTAAGCAG